CTGGCAAGAAAACAGGTGTTAAGATTTCGATTTAAAGCTTTCGTGACTGCAGGGATTCATATTCTTGGTTCTTTCGGTAAAGTCACGTAGAAGGTAAATAATAACATAAAATAAAATAATAAAATTCTAACGACGTTTCGGCCACAACGCAAGCAGCCGTCCTCAGGTGAAGAACAGAGCTGGACACGTCGTGAGAATTGTATAATGTTTTGTTTTTTATAATTTTATTATTTCCCTTCTACGCGACTTTACCGAAAGAACCAAGAATAGGTGTTAAGATGTTCAAACACATTTTAAAAGGAATCAAGTTTGCATTAAACACACACATTACTTGTGGCGAACACGCAAACAAACACGCTCTGATAATGAATCATATACGCATTGCCTTTGACACTGATTGGTCTACACCAGAGACAGCCTTCTTTAGAAAACACGTGACAGGCGTGCAACATATAGGAAAGGTCCCAAGCGCTGCTCACGATCGCACAGAACAAGAAGCCACGCCGTGCTGATGAGACTCGGAAAGTGGAAGCACGTCCCAGCGTGTGCCCGTTCAAAACGCTAAGATGCAGGAGCCCGTTGGGTCCAGAAGGATGTTTTTTTGGCGGATGGACACAAATGTTATCGAATGTTATTTTTGGACAATGAAACGGGAGCATCGGCCATCCGCCCTCCCAAGTTCCACAGTCCAACGAATGTTGTGGGGGGGGGAGTGGTGGTGTAGCGGCTAGCGCCACGCTCGCGCTACGAAACTCGGCCACCCGAGTTCGATTCCCGCTCACGGCCACCAACAGGAATGATAGCGATTGTCTAAACTGCTCGTGGGCCTCACCTAGGTTGACTCGGCCTCAAATCAGTACCTGGTGAAGTGTGCAAACATCGCCACTACGGAGACAAAGGCGGTCGGGCGTAGTGCTGGCCACTCACCCCCCCTGTTGTGCTGTCCGGGCCATCAGCACTTGCCCCAACAGTCTGTTAAGACGATTTGGATGATATTTATTTTTTTTGTACGTGGGGAGCGGCGGTGCAGTGGTTAGTGCACGGCACAGTGAATCCAGGAAACTTGAGAAGGAATCTTAACACTGGCTAAGAGCAGTGGAGTGCGACATTAGGACTCGTCCTGAGCCTTCCCTAGGTCGACTCAGCCTTAAATGAGTACAAGGTGCAATGTGTATCAAAAGGTGCTCGCTAACAACACTGGGTCTTTGTCTCTGTTGCTTATGTGTGTATGTGTGAATACATATACATGCATGCTTATATGTACGTGTATGCACATGCGTTTTACGCGTGTGTGCATATTTGCACACGTGTATGTGATGTCAGTGTGATGCTGGTTGGCTGACTGGCTGCATGGCCGACTGCCTGACTCCGTGTCTGGCTGGCTGACTGACTGAATGGTCGGCTAGCTGACTGCCTCGCTGGCTGGCTGACCGGCTGACTGGCCGACTGCCTGACCAGCTCGCCAGCCGACCAGTGGCGTAGCTAGGATATTTTACGCCCGGGGACGAACTATAAAATTGTCGCCCCCCCCCCCGTTTAATCACATACCAAAATGTAATTACATGACATGTAGGCTGTGTGTGGCGGGATATATAAACTTTTAGGTTGAGGTGTAGATTTGTGCAGTCGTTTCAGGCTGCCGCGCCCGCCGCAACAAGTTATAATGTAACTCGTATTTTATTTTACTTTTATTAATTTTAATGTTTTACCTACGTGACTTTACCGAAAAAACCTAAGAATATTATAATGTAACGTTGTAAGCCTAATTTTGGCGCCCCTTTACCTTGGCGCCCGGGGACATGTGTACCCCGCTGCCCCCTCCTAGCTACGCCTCTGCAGCCGACTGGCTGAATGGCTGACTGGCTGACCGGCCGACTGGCTGACCGGCCGTCAATAATGAGGAGCGTGGCGAGAGGTGGCCAGTCTGGCCAGGGCCAGCGCTCCTCCCAGCAGGCTGCGGACTGCGCGTCGTGGACGACGCGTGAGAATCGCCGTCGCAGCGGCTCTCGCCACAACATCTTCGCACGCATCCCCCCCACCCCCCCTCCACCCGTTCACTCGCAGAGATTTACAACAAATTAGGAACATCGTGTTCCGCAAACTGTACGCTTTTGTTGCTGGCCGCAGCACTTCTCATTTTCTCTGGGTATGGGATGGTTTTAAAAATATAAATAACCCACCTACTCCCCACCACCACCACCCCCACACTCCACTCCCCACCGATGCGTTTTTGGGTCGTGCAGCCGGTTGTTCGGCGCGGGGCCGGAGGGTCGCTCCGCTGTTGCCGGCAGCTTCTTTGCGCGCCGAGCGAGACGTGCCGAGCGAGACGCGCGGCACTCCGTAACGCCCCGGAGGAGCTCCACTCTGCAAAGGGCTTCTTCTCAAGCAGCACTGAAGCCCCCATGAGTGGGGCATGCGGCGTGGGCGGAAGGCTCAGCGGTAAATATCACTCGTTGATAATAAGGGGGCCGTCCATAAATGACGTCACGCGATTTTTAACGATTTTTGACCCCCCTACCCCCCTCGTCACACGGCGTCGCAAAAAGTCAGACCCCCCGTCAAATATGACGTTACAAAGCTCTGCCCCCCCCCCCAAAAAAAAAAAAACATCCTTCAAATCGCTTTAAATTATTGTCATTGTAGTGCGTATTTAAGGTGCCGCTGCTCTGATGTTGAAGGAGAAAACATTTATCAAAAAAATGTCTGACCCCCCCCACCCCCAGGTGCGTGACGTCATTTATGGACGGCCCCTAAGACACTCGCTTCCCATTCATTTTCACCGCCCCCCCTCCCCTCCTCCTTCAAGGAGGTTTCACTCCACATTATTTTTTTTCATCCCAATTGATGTTTTCTATCCATCGTACTTTGGTACCTGTTGAACAACATTTTTTCAAATTAAACGCTAAACCACGATGACCTTGCTATCATACACATTTGTAATCTAGAGATACAAGTCTGGAAGTATATCATTGTTAGCAATTGCCACCAAGGAGTAATTTTGGGTCCAGAGCCTCAAGGATCGGATGAACAATCTGCCGACACACAAAACAACCCCTTCCACCCACCCCGCGCAGGTGATTCAAATAGGATCGTAATTTTAGTCAAGAATCAATTCCTTTTCTTTGCACTGCAGAGAATGGAAGCGCCTCTAAGTGGCTACCGGGGCGATGGATGAACCCATTACGTGAAATATGTGAATCTTAAAAGACATCGATAGACGCACAAACGATTAGCTGCAGACGCTGACAAATAGGCCACGATTCCTTCCAGCGACGTCCCCTGCCCAAGTCCACTTTCTCTTCTGATGTCTTTAACTTGCGTACGATCTCAAATCCGCGGGCGGCTCTGTCTGGCAACGTTCGTTCCCGACGCCTTCTTGGCAGCCACACTGGGGCGGAAGCTTAAAGCGTCAACGGCGCTGCACGCGGTCGATATCATTGCACCAAAGATTCATCGACGTACCATCCCGAGTGGGGATATAAACCAAACGGCTCTCCAAACACACGCGGCCACGCTATCCGCGGCATCGATCCGAATTTAATGGCCAGTTGTAGCTTTTTTTTTGCCCACTTCAGCAATTGTTTCTTGCTGTGGTTGTCCCACCTGATGACGGACGCTTGTGTTGCGCCCGAAACGTGGTGATTAAATGTATTTTATTTTTTATACTTACGTGACTTTACCGAAAGAACCAAAGAGTGTAGTTGTAGCTTTGTTGAACGCGATACACGACCCAGAGATTAGGTCACATGGAAATGTATGGCAGTCAAATATTCTAAACGCATATTTCAAAATGTGGGGGGAACAACCAGAGGACCCAGGTAAAAATCCATGCGACCACGGAGAGAGACACGCAAACTCCAAATATACCGGCGTTACATGGTCAGGTTCGAACCCATGACCTCCTGTATACCAGGCAAGGTAGTGAACATCCCACCGCCGTGGCACCCACGGTGGCAGGATGGACCCACATACCTGCCTATTTAGGGTCGTTCAATACCAGATCAACCAAGCGTATACTTGCCCAGCTTTGTATTTGGACGGCTTTGTGTTTGGCAATGGAGGGTACCACCCAGATATTAGGTTCAGTCTGACCTTCATCTCCCCAGATAAGATTGACCCGACAAGACCGTTTGGCGACCTTTCAGGTATGCTAATTTGGCTCAGGGCTGAAGCAGAAATTTAGAGTTTTCAGTTCGACGATATTTTTTAAGCTCTTAAAAAGATGCAGCTTTTTTCATTTTATGGGGATACAAATATATATATAAACTCCGGTTAGCACGATTGGCTACGGACGGTGCGAAAGAAGTTCAACGTGCATACATATGAACGCAGGACGTAACAGTTGACATGACGTTTGACCTCGGCCTTGCTCAAGTTACGTGAAAATCTGGAGCGCTCAGGTTCAGAGCGCGAGAATCCAATGTGCGCGCGCTTCAAGCGGACAGCCGGCGATTCAGGCCGATTTCAATACTTCCACCACCGCGTCCCATCTAGTTCATCGTTTCACCACTAGGAGTGCTGTAGTCGAGCGTTCGGGTTACCACCACGGCCCTTCTGGAACTGGGGGCATGTGGTGGGTAGCCCAAATCTGTCGACTTCCCAGGAACAACAAGAATAAGACAGATTCCTGCCATGTAACATCAGCTTAACAGCGCCTGGTCGCTCCGTGGTAGAGCGAGTGGCTCGCAACCTGAATCATGCCAGTTCAAATCCTGCTGTGGCGTTGACTCAGCCCATCATTCCTCTCAGGGTCGACAAAATCAGTACCACTTTGTGGTAAATTCCTATGGTTGTGCTATGGAAAGATGTCACGCCCCCCCCCCCCTTCGCCTGGGTATAGGAATGTGGAGTTTCCACTACTTGCCGAGGGCTATAAACAAGAGCATGAGCAGGCGGAAACCGATCACTCCCGACTCGTTAAGTCGAGTTTCAACTTCACGTGCCGATAATCCCGCTCCGTGCTCTCCCCGACCGCCGCCGCCGCTGCCGCCGTTGCTCACCGGGCGAGCAGTGCAGGAAGTCGATGTCGTCGATGGCGGTTCCGCCCGCGTAGTTGTGCGTGCGCACTCCCTCCAAGATGACCACGAAGTTGCGCAGGCGCTTGAGCGGCACCAGTGCCTGGCGCCAGACCCCGACCTGCTCGCTCGGCTGGCTCCTCCACATTTCGATCAGGTTGTACTCCGTCTGCCAAGGGAAGGCCGCGATGACGGGACCGATCGCAACAACGGTGGAACCGAACGCGACGACGGGACCGAATGCGACAACGATGATGGAACCTATATTCATCTTCTTGGTTCTTTCGGTAAAGTCACGTCGAAGGGAAATAATAAAAATAAAACATAAGAAAATCATTCTCACGACGTTTCGGCCACAACGCAAGCAGCCATCCTCAGGTGAAGAACAGGTCTGTCGGGAAGACAGCGTCTGAATGAAACACCCCAGACGCTGTCTTCCCGACAGACCTGTTCTTCACCTGAGGACGGCTGCTTGCGTTGTGGCCGAAACGTCGTGAGAATTATTTTATTATGTTTTATTTTTATTATTTTATTATTTCCCTTGTACGTGACTTTACCGAAAGAACCAAGAAGATGAATACCTGCAAGTCACGAAAGCTTTAAATCGAAATGGAACCTATATTCTTAGGTTTTTTCGGTAAAGTCACGTAGGTAAAAAATAAAAATTTATAAAAGTTAAATCAAAATATTTTATTTTTATTTTACTTGCATCACGTGACTTGACTTTTATTACGTGACTTTATTACGTGACTTTACCGAAAAAACCTAAGAATATGAATCCTTGCAAGTCACGAAAGCTTCAAATCTACGATGACGGAACCGTGCGCGTGGGCGAGCCAGCCAGGTAGCGGCGTGTACGGACCTTGACGATGACGCGCAGGCCGCCGGAGGTGGCGGAGGACATGTAGTACCAGAAGGAGAGGGTGCAGAGGCGGCTCGACTGGTGGAACTCGCCGCTCTTCAGGTGGCCCTTGTCGCCCTGCCGCCCGCTCTGCGTCGGCTCCAAGAAGAAGAAGTGGCCTGAATCGGAATCAATATTTTTTTTAATCTTCTTGGTTCTTTCGGTAAAGTCATGTAGAAACGTCGTGAGAATTATTGTATTATGTTTTTTTTAATTATTTTATTATTTCCATTCTACGTGACTTTACCGAAAGAACCAAGAAGATGAATCCCTGCAGTCACGAAAGCTTTAAATCGAATTTTTTTTTTAAATTTAGGGCTGGGGGCATTCCGATGAGCTACGGATATATTTTACGCGCGTGTCGAATTGACGACACCCCCTCGACACCGCAGCACGGTGAGCATGGCCCTGGCTGCTCAGAAAACCCGGCCCCTGGACCCCAGTGGCCAGTGCGAGTGCAGCTACATCACCTGCACTCTCAGCAGCCGCGCAACTGCCTCACCGCCAACGCCGCGCTACGGTCGCCACGGGATGTTCATGTTCGCTCTGCGAAGGAGCCCGAGCGGTCGCATTCCGCAGGAAGCTGTGAAGTCGGGAGGTGGTCGCGGCGTGGAACGCAGGGACACACGACTGCCTCTGATGATTAACATGATGAATTCTAGATTTGAAGCTTTCGTGACTGCAAGGATTCATATTCTTAGGTTTTTTCGGTAAAGTCACGTAGGTAAAAAAAATAAAATTAATAAAAGTAAAATTAAAAATAAAATTAAAATCACGACGTTTCGGAGGCAACACAAGCTTCCGTCTTCAGGTGGAACCGTCACAGCACGCTTGCTGTATCAAGTAATCATAATGAAGCTGATGAGATTGATACCGATCCTGATACTGATACTACTACCCTGATAGTGATGATGATGATGATCCAGATTATGTTAATGAACCTGAGTATGCTATGTGAGACGAGGAGAGGGCTGAGCCCTCAGCACGGGGCGGGGACTGCAGGCGATGGGGACAAAGCCTCCTCTGGTTCTACCACCGCCACCACCACCACTATCACCACCACGACCCCCACCACAATCGCTGCTGTCACCACCGCCACCACCACCGTCACCACTGCCACCACTACCACCACCGCTGGCACCGCCACCAACACCATCGCCACCACCGCCACCAATACTACCGTCACAACCACCACCACCGCCGCCGCAACCACCGCCACCACCGCCACCACCACCGCCGTTGCAGCCACTACCGCCACCACCAGGGCTGGATTACCACATGGGCTTTCGGGGATGCAGCCCAGGGCCGAACATTTTCAGGGCCCCTCAAAGAAAAAAAATATATATATCCTGCTTTATAATGGCTGAAATACTGGCGCACGACGATGCATCCTATGCATTATGTGTTAATTAAACCCTTAACATCGCTGTGTATTACTACCAGCTATGCGCCATTGTATTTCAGTGTGATGTACGAATTTCTGTTTTAAAATTCGTACATTGCACTGAAAACCCCAAACTCAAGAACACAGAGTAAACAACCACTTGCGTGCGTGCGTGCGTCATGTTACATATGTGCCCTCTGCTGGCAGACTAATGGCCGCTTACAGGCTGTGGCCGAGTCACCGTCCGCCGCATAAGCAGGTGCCCCTTCAAATGTTTGAGTTGAGATGCGATGCGAGGTGCTCAGCAATCCAAATCACATCCCAAACTATCGGAAGGTGGGCAGAGGGGGGGGGGGGGAACCCCTGTGACAGCTGTCCATGCCCTCCATAAATACGATTATTATTTATGGATTTGAAGTTTTCGTGACTGCAAGGGTCCATACTTTTGTTTTTTTCGGTAAAGTCACGTAGGTAAAAAAAAATTTTAATCACGACGTTTCGGAGGCAACACAAGCTTCCGTCTTCAGGTGGAACCGTCACAGCAAAGTTACTGTATATTTTCTTTTTGACCTACGTGACTTTACCGAAAAAACCAAAGAGTACGATTATTATTATGGACATCTGTGAAAAAGAGCTTTATAGCTACATCATGGGACCTCCTTTGCCTGTACCAAAACATGAGAATGGATTTCCCGTTTTTTCTGGCAACAGAACTGGCAACAATACTCTGATAGTGTAATTGTATTTGTGCTGTTCCCCTTTTGGCATCCTCTGGTCTAACACCGTTTGAGACGAGGCTCAAAGGAAGCTGTCTCTGGTGTGGACCAATCAGTTTCAAAGACAATGCATATATTATCTGACCACAAATATTGTGGTTAATGCAGACATGATTCCTTGTCAGAGGTTTCAGTTTGGTGTTTTAACATCTCGACACCTGTTTTGTTGCCAGAAAAAAGGAGAAAACCTATTCTCACAACTTTCTAGCTCATCGGACTCCTCCAGTATTAATCATTATTTTGATTCCAGCCACGGGCCCCCGATAAACCTCAACGTAGGTCTAGCTGTAGTGGCCGGCCAAGCGTAGCCTCCGGTTCCACCACCGCCATCGCCACCGCCATCGCCACCGTCACGGCCGTGTGTTGTCTACCCTGCTCGGAGCCCAGCGTGTGGTCCACGGGGGGGCGCGGGCCGTGCGGGGAGCCGTGGCCCAGGACCCAGTTGAAGCAGTCGGACTGCGAGTTCTCCCAGCCGCAGGTGTCGCCCTGCTCGAAGGTGCACGCGGAGCCGCACTCGCTCTCGTCGGAGCCGTCCTCGCAGTCCGCTTGGAAGTCGCACAGCCGCTCCTCGTGCACGCACCGGCCGTCCGTCGCGCAGGGACGCTGATCGCGCCCGCAGTGGTCTGGGAGGGGGCCGGGGGAGAAGGCGGGTGGGGAGGCGGGGCGGCGGCGGGGGGGGGGCGCAGAGGTCATACATCGGAAATTCATGTACCATGACAGTCAAACCGATATTTAACATTTTCAGAGATGGAATTTAGGAAAATTAAGCACGGAACACGGTGTAAAGTCACGAGGTTATTTTTGGAGCCCGGGTTGCTGGGAGCATCAACTGACCGCCGTCAAGACACCACATTTCGTCACGGGTATCTGAACCCTGGCTACGACCCAAGGACTTTGGCAGAGCCAGATGAGCACTCCGAGGCCCATGAGCGACCGGCCACCTCCCCCGCTGCACGTCGTGAATGCGAGGACACGCACAGCAACAAACGGCGCCGCGCGTCGCGGTTCCCCCCAGTAATCTCGCTCGCCCGTGCTGCTAGCATCTCCACGGAAAGAGGAGGAGGAGCTTCTCCGCTCACCGTGGTCGCCGGAGCCGTTGTTCGGCGGCACCACGACGGGAGTGCACTCCATGCTGAAGGTAATGTCGTCGAGGACGATGGCCGTGCGGCTGCCCGTGCCCACGAGGCCCTCGATGATGACGGAAAAGGGGTGCGACGCGTCGAGTATGACCACCTCGCGCTGCCACACCGCGTCCTCCTGCTGGTCCGTCAGGTTGAGGAGCAGCTGCCAGCGGTCCTGCTCCACCAGCAGCTCCAGGTCCTCTCCGTCGAGGGCTTCGGCCGAGGAGGACGCGGACGAGGAGGAGGAAGAGGAGGCCGAGAAGAAGGAGGAGGAGAGGGGCCGCCGGCGCAGCTTTCTGCCGGAGAGCTGCGACTTCCCGTCAAGCGCCGACACCAGCCACCCGGCCAGCTCGGCGCGGTAGATGCGCAGCGAGCCCACGCCTTTACCCAGCATGCAGTAGTGGAACAGCAGCTGTTACACGTTCACACAACACGTCGTCGCGAGAGAGATCATTGTACGCTCACGATGACAAATACAGTCAGGGAACTTTGCATACGTGTCTTTCTTTTTGTTATAGGCTCTTCGCATGTCCGCCACTTGCAAAAAAGGGTGTCTCTCAGAGGGGGGTATGTGGAAAGGGGAACAACAATCGTCAAAAAAGAAACCTTGCATTCGTGCGTGCCGGCGCTGATGGGTGGCACGGAGATGCGTGCCAGCTGGCCCGGCAGGCGCGGGAAGGTGCTCTCTAGGCTGAGGTAGTGGCCACGGGGGTCGCGCAGCGTGTGGTCCGTGGGCATCGGCCCCCCACCGCCCAGCGGGGAGCTGCCCGAGCTCAGCGTCCAGTCGGCGTCGTCAGCGTCGTACCACTGGCGCCACGTGCACAGGTCGAACTCGAAGTTGCAGTGGCCGGGGTAGCCCGCTGTGTGGCCCGCACAAAGACAAAGGTGTCCGTGTAAAGCCTTCACAGACTGTTGGGGAAAGTATGTACATACGTACGTTGACCTTCTTTTGCACCGTACTTAGCCAACCGTGCTAATCGAAGGTGCGCGGGGGGGAAGGACAACAAACTAAATTACAAAAAACAGAAAAAATAAATTAGTTTTTAAAATCTAGATTTTGTTGCAGGGGGTTCGTCTTTTATTCCTTTCCTCCCATCCACACCTGTCCCCAGCCGTCCCAATCTCGTTCCTGCCAACGAACCCCTCTTTCCACGCGTTCTCTCCCTTATATCTCCTCACCTGCTCCTCCCCCTTCTCCTGTCACCGTCCCACTCCCCCTCCTATTGGTGGGGATCCTTCCCCTGACACCCCTACAAGTGCATAGCTCCCAGTGGCCTCCTAATATCGAAAGGAAGACCGTTCCAGACGGCCGCAGAAGTGCGTCTCGGAACGCGCGCGATGCGGTGATCGTCTTTGTTCGCTGGTTAGTTAAAAGTCGCCGCTACGAGGATGACCGGAGTTCGCGGCACGGTTTAAGTGCTGTAATCGAGCACCTGCGTAGGCCGGTGCGGCACGTGACGGGGGGTGGTGGTGGTGGCCAGCAATGCTGATGCTTACTACGCACCGCAGTGTGTGTACTCATTTTAAGGTGGAGTCGACCTAGAGGAGGCCTGGGACCGGTTCAAATATTCGCCACCGTTTTTAGCTGTGAGCGGAATCGAACTCGGGTCGCCGGGTTCCTACTTGACACCTGTGAAAAAGAGCTTCACAGCTCATCGTATTTCCCCAACATGAACAAAGATTCTGATTCTGAAGATTCTGGGGCGCAGCTCGCTAGCCACTCAGCTTCCGCTCCCCCGCATGCACCCGCACGACAAAAACAAACGCTCGCACGCATACCTAAGTATGCAAGCAGGTACGTGTGCACGCACGTACACAAACTGCGACATTTTAACGTGATGGGATTCTGCAGTGACGAGTCGCCCGGTTGGAAGCGTGGCCGCGGGATGTTCACGGGCGGCTGATGGCGGCCCCCGGCTTTCAGACCCCGCATGCCAGCGCCGCTGGCTCGGCATCTCTTTGACCTTTGCAGCGGGTGGCTTCGTTAAGTTCGAATCCCCCGCCTCGGGCTGCTTGTGCGGTCACTCATTTTTACCCGTCCCTCGGCGATCTCAGCGGTGCCGGTGAGCAGCCGGACCCCCCCCCCCCCGCACCACGAACCACCCGTCCACCTTGGAGTTACCGGTCCTCAGTGCCTTTCATCTCTTTTAGTCTCAGCACTTAATGTTTTCACCCACACGAGTACATTCCTGTGCTGCTATTGACAGTGGCGAGATGTAACTACCCCCCCCTGGTATACAGGAGGTCGTGGGTTCGATCCCGACTCTGATGCCTGCTGTATATTTGGAGTTTGCACGTTTCTCTCTCTCTCTCTCCCTGTGGTCACGTGGAATTTCCTCTGGGTCCTCCGGCTTCTCCCTCCACGTTTAGAATCAACAGCACGCGTTTAGAGTATTTGGCTGCGATAAATGTCTACATGATGATAGGCCACTTCGTTGCGCTATCATTTGTGGCAGGGTCACTTCTGAAAAAGAGATACATAGCTCAGTCGGTCTTACCTAGTGAAATAAAAAATTGTAAAAAAGTAGTTTCAGAAAAATCAAGGTGCCACGAAAACGCAAGCGTTCCGGCACATTCCGGATAATATCGGTCATCGCTCTACTTGCTCCCTCTCTCCCTCTGACCCGGCCTCCCGGCCCCGGCTGACCGCCACTACCGCCACCACCACCACCACCGCCACCACCACCGCCACCACCACCGCCACCACCACCACCGCCACCACCACCGCCACCACCGCCACCACCACCACCGCCACCGCCACCGCCACCGCCACCGCCACCACCAGCACCACCAGCACCGCCACCACCACCACCACCGCCACCACCACCGCTGCCACCAGCACCACCACCTCCAGCACCACCGCCACCGCCACCACCGCCGCCACCGCCACCACTACCGCCACCACCGCCACCACTGCCACCACCACCACCACCACTGCCACCACCACCACCGCCGCCACCACCACCACTACCGCCACCATCGCCACCACCACCACCACCACCGCCGCCACCACCACCGCCACCGCCACCACCGCCACCACCGCCACCATCGCCACCACCGCCACCACCACCACCGCCACCGCCGCCGCCACCGCCACCACCGCCACCGCCACCACCACCGCCACCGCCGCTGTCACTCACCGCAGATCTGTGGCGTCTCGTCTGAATTGTCAATGCAGTCGTTGTTGAAGTCGCAAAGGCTGCTCGCCGGCACGCAGAGCCCGTTGTGGCACGGGAAGTCAGTCGCCGAGCAGGGCTGCGTGCCGGGCTCGGGCGGAGCACAGTCCGAGAACTCCAAGTCGTCGATGGCGAGGTCGCCAAGGTAGCCCACGCCCTTCCGCACGCGCACGATGACCTGGCGACACGGGGGGGGGGAGGTGAGGGTCAAGGACAGAGGTGCAAGGTTTGTGGGGGCAGGAGCGGCGTGTGAAGTTATGTGGTTACAACGCTAGGCCAGGAGTCTGGCAACCTTTCAAAGTAGAAGAATAAACCGCGTGAATTTGTTTTTTTCCCCCTCCTCGTTATTCTATAACAACGCAGTTTTGACTGTTGTACATTTTGTCGTCACCAAGACATTCGATAGTGACCCATTCCCCGCCATATTCGATAAATTGTTTATTATCTTTCCGTTAAAGTGTCTTTATATTTTTGCTATCCCCAAATCGGAACTGGAACTCCTTGCAGCCGCTGCGTTGACAGAGAGAGAGAAAGAAAGAAAGTGATGCGATAAAGTGATGAGAGAGAATGGTGATGCGAGAATGAGATAAAGTGATGAGAAAGTGATGAGCTTGATTATTTAAGTACTTTCTAAAGGAAATCCATTTCAAGGGTAGTTTTGGTAGGGCGAACACCACTATCCTGTCCACGAGCATCTCCGGAACGTATCGCTCACAAATGAACGAGGGAAGACCGCGGGCCTACGCTCTTGGCGGCGGAGGGCAGTGCAGACAACGCTACCCTGTCGTGTCGTATTTCTACGCTGCCACATCTGTGCAACCCCCTCCTTCACCAGCTCCTGCTGGCCGACGAGGCGAAGTAAAAATGGTCAAACAGCGTGTACGGGGCGGGCGGGAACATGCCTGGAAGCGGACGCGCACGCCCAGGAGCACCCGCGCGTGCCTCCAGCCGGCGCCCTGGTCACCGTTCTTCATCCACAGAGGGTACGTCTCGTTCATGGAGGACACGAGCACCTGGGCGCGGGGACGCGGTACGGAACGTTCGCGTCAGAACGTTTAGGTCGGAAGCATTGGGTCAGTGCGTTCGGTCAAAACGTTCCGTCCGAATATTCCAACTGAAAGTTTGGACAAAACAACGGGTCAGAAGATTCAGTCGGAACGCACGGTCAGAGCGTTCGGTCGGAGCATTAGGTCAGAGCGTTCAGTCGGAATGTTTTGGTGGGCATGTGGATTTGGAACATTGAGTAGGAACGTTACGTTAGCAAGGGTCAGCCAGAATAATCGATTGGACCGTTCTGTTGGAACGCTCAGTCAGAAATCTCGTGAGAGCATTCGGTCACAACACGAAAAAAGCCATCATTACTGAAGCACGTCTATCATTCGTCCATCGGCCAATCTTACACAGGCAGTCTACTGAACGTTGCTCATAGTGTTTTCTGTGAATGTGCTCGCATGCCTGCCAACGTGCTTGTGGTGATAGATGTGCACGACAAAGACGAATGATGAAGGGTCTACTGCGATGATGACTACAAAGAACGTTCAGGCAGAAGCCTTTCTCTAAGTCCTGCCCACAAGGCTACGGAGAAGGCATGGTACCGTTTACTTCCTTCCGATATCAGGAAGCCACTAGAGCTATGGACTTTTAAATCACCGAGATTGATTTTGTGTAAAATTTTTGTCCCCACACCTCCGATTAGAACGGTTGGCTATGTATGCTGCGAAAGAAGTTCAACATACGTACGTACATATGACCCCTCTCTCCCACGACTTCATAAATTGTCACAATTCTGCATCACGATGAGACTCAACATCGTGACTTCTTCGTCCGTGGATTCACCAAAAAGGCACAAAACCGAGACGGAAAAAATTAACCCGTAGAAACAAAGTTTTTTACTAGAAATCCTTTATATGCGTGGCGGCTAGAGTCCTCTCGTCCTCTGGCTGGAGATGGCTGCCACCTATGGGTCAGATGATTGCCTGCCACCATTAAGCAATTGGTAATTAAATATAAAAAAAAAAATCCTAAAAAGTGTAAAGTTATGGAAATTTTTTTTCACGAAAATAAATTGTCACGCACACCGAGTCTGTGTGCAAAATGTCAGCTCGATTGGATCACAGGAAGTGGGTTTAAAAACGACCGAAAGATTTGCACGGTCGTAAGCGTGCAAGCAGGCAAGCAAGTGAACTTAATATAAAATATTTAAAAAGAGCAACTATATGGGCGAGGCCGGGTCAAATTGTGACAACCCCTCAGATCACCGTGGTGGAGAATCGTCGCCTGCCTCGCGTGCCTCGTGCGGTCGGCAGGAGCCTGCAATGCGCGTGCGGTGTGGATACCTGCAGCAGGCCGATGCTCACTCCCTCCATGTGGTACCAGAAGACCAGGTGACAATTCGGTCCCGAACGACCGATTGTGGGCGTCACGAGGTCCGACGCCTCCCAGAACTTCCCGCTCGAGCTGTCCGCATACAGGTACCAGCCCTCCGCATCGCCCCTGCCGCCACAAACAGCACGGGCAGGCCGCTAGGGTACGCAGCGGGGGGCAGCTATCGAGTGCGCACGTGATGCAACCGCACCGCAGTCCACGGGCAGGAGGAGCGCAGGTAACCTGCTACGGAAAGAGGGGTGGGGGAGGGAGGGGGGGGAGGGAGGGGGTGGTGGGGGAGGGAGGGGGGGGAGGGAGGGGGTGGTGGGGGAGGGAGGGTGTGGGGGGGGAGGGAAGGGGTGGTGGGGGAGGGAGGGTGTGGGGGGGAGGGAGGGGGTGGTGGGGGAGGGAGGGGGTGGTGGGGGAGGGAGGGTGTGGGGGGGGAGGGAAGGGGTGGTGGGGGAGGGAGGGGGTGGTGGGGGAGGGGGTGGTGGGGGAGGGAGGGTGTGGGGGGGGAGGGAGGGAGGGTGTGGGGGGGGAGGGGGTGGTGGGGGAGGGAGGGGGTGGGGGGGAGGGTGTGGGGGGGGAGGGAGGGTGTGGGGGGGGAGGGAGGGTGTGGGGTGGGAGGGGGTGGTGGGGGAGGGAGGGTGTGGGGGGGGAGGGAGGGTGTGGGGGGGGAGGGAGGGTGTGGGAGGGGAGGGAGGGGGTGGGGGGGGGAGGGTGTGGGGGGGGAGGGAGGGGGTGGGGGGGGAAGGAGGGTGTGGGGAGGGAGGGGGTGGTGGGGGAGGGAGGGTGTGGGGTGGGAGGGGGTGGTGGGGGAGGGAGGGTGTGGGGGGGGGTGGTGGGAGAGGGAGGGTGTGATGGGGGGGGAGGGTGGGGGTGGGGGGGGGAGGAGGGGGTGGGGAGGGAGGGGGTGGTTGGGGAGGGAGGGGGTGATGGGGGAGGGAGGGTGTGGGGGGGGGAGGGAGGGTGTGGGGGGGGGAGGGGGTGGTGGGGGAGGGAGGGTGTGGAGGGGAGGGAGGGGGTGGTGGGGGAGGGAGGGTGTGATGGGGGAGGGAGGGTGTGGGGGGGGAGGGAGGGTGTGGGGGGGGAGGGAGGGTGTGATGGGGGAGGGAGGGTGTGGGGGGGGAGGGAGGGGGTGGTGGGGGAGGGAGGGGGTGGTGGGGGAGGGAGGGTGTGGGGGGGGAGGGAAGGGGTGGTGGGGGAGGGAGGGTGTGATGGGGGAGGGAGGGTGTGGGGGGGGAGGGAGGGGGTGGTGGGGGAGGGAGGGGGTGGTGGGGGAGGGAGGGTGTGGGGGGGGAGGGAAGGGGTGGTGGGGGAGGGAGGGTGTGATGGGGGAGGGAGGGTGTGGGGGGGGAGGGAGGGGGTGGTGGAGGAGGGAGGGTGTGGGGGGGGTGGTGGGGGAGGGAGGGGTTGGGGAGGGAGGGGGTGGTGGGGGAGGGAGGGGGTGGTGGGGGAGGGAGGGTGTGGGGGGGGGGTGATGGGGGGGGAGGGAGGGGGTGATGGGGGAGGGGGTGGTGGGGGAGGGAGGGGGTGGGGGGGGAGGGAGGGGGTGGGGGGGGACCCAGCGCTGGCACTTGGCTGGGGGCCCTGGCAGCGCCAGCTTGATGCGTAGAGGCGACGTAGGCGGTGGCAGGTTGCTGGCACTCGGGAGGGGTGCCAATGTCAAGTCGTGCAGTTGGGCAGCTGTGATTGGTGGGTGCATGTGCCCAGGGGCGTGGGGTGGTTGGCATGGGCCCTGATGGGATTGGCTGCAGCACGTCATCACGGCCGTTGGTGGTGTAGACATGGGCACGTTTTGACCAATTTTCATTTCCAAGAAATACGTATTATTGAATCAACAGTTTTTTTTTGTAAACGGAGGTATGAGCATCAGGAGCAACTGCTGCAGTTGTGGTGATAGTGTTTTTTGTGGTGCTGGTGGTGTTTTGGTCGTATGGTGGTGGTGTTTTTGTGGTGGTGGCCGTGTTGGCGTTTTTGCGCCGGTGACAGTGGTGGCGGTGGTGTTTTCGTGGTCGCGGTGGTTGCAATATGGTGGCGGCAGTGGACACGACACGCACGTGGTGTGGTCGACGGTGGGTCTGTCGCCGGACTCCATGGGGTAAACTGTTGCTCCCTGTCCCAGGCTCCAGCGGAACCCATCCTCTTCGTTGCTGCCGCCGCCGGCAATGTCCCGGAGGACGGTCCAGAAGCACATGACCCCATCGGTGAACCCGCACTGCGGCAGCACTGCGGGTCGGGTGACGTGCAACGGCGGGAGAGAACGGTTACTGCCGACCTCTCAGCGGCACCAATTTCGGCGTCTCCGGCACGGCGTGCACCTCCCCGGAGAAATGCGGCCGCACCTCAGCAAAGTCATCGACGGACCAAAACACGACGACCGGAGTGTGCGCTCCTCCACATCCCGTACGGCTTCTGCACAAGGATCGAGGGGGTGGGTGGTGGGTGTGGGGGTTCCGCCGTGCGCTCTGGCGGCCCGTGAGTTTTTTGCATCGCGACCGCGCGTGCCACAGCCTCGTCAGCGCATGGCCAATACCCGTTGCTCCACATCGCGTACCACCGTCGCTCCACATCGCGTACGGGTCCCGCCACCGAACATGCTCGCGAATCCGCCCCAACTCCCACTCGCCCCCACCCTCCATCCCCGCCCCCGCCGCCCCCCCCGCCCCAACCACCCCACCACCCCTCACCCCACCGCGTACCGCAGCGAGCCTCGTCGCTGCCGTCGGCGCAGTCTTCGCGGAAGTTGCAGCGCGCGCCCGGGGAGAGGCAGGCGGCGTCCGAGCGGCACACGAACTCGCCCTCGGAGCAGTCGTTGGGCAGCAGCGTGGACGAGGCGACGGGGTTCGTCGGGGTCACGAGCAGTGGCAACTCCCCTGCGAGCGAGCGTGAGCGCAAGAGAGAGAAAGAGAGAGGGTCGCCTACAGATAGAACGGGGTGTTTGGCAAAAAAACGATTTTGTTTGTGCATGATATGGGCGCGGATAGGGGGCCGTCCACCTGGGGGGGGGGGGGGTTTCAGACATTTGTGACGATGTGTGACGAGGGGGGGGGGTTTGCGAAGTGTGACGTCATGTAAAAATGCGCAACTTTTAATAAATATAGAATTGGTATAGCAACACTAATTGTTATAACAACACTCCTACAGCATCAGAGTGCAGCGCCACATTAAATACGCACTACAATGACAATAGTTTAAAGCGATTTGAAGCATGTTTTATTTTCAAAATGGAAATATGGTTTCGGAGTGGGGGGCAGAGCTTTGTGACGTCATATTTGACGGGGGGTCTGACTTTTTGTGACGCCGTGTGACGAGGGGGGGGGGGGGGGAGTAAAAAATTGTCCAAAATCGCGTGACGTCATTTATGGACGGCCCCTAGCGCTGAAGCTCAATGCTCGTAGCTTGTGGGGCCCTGGCGTGCTGAACGTGTCAGCTGTTTAGACAACTGTTTGTGAGGCTTGCCTTCGTAACCAAAAATAAATATCGCGGGAAAGTGGATCAGCGGTGCAGTGGTTAACGTGCTACCCCGTGACGCGAGGGGCACGTGATTGAATCCCGGCCACGGCTAAACATCGGTGGCGAGCGAAATCGGAAACGACTCCCCACCTTCACGAACCCGCACTGAGCAGGACAGCTCGGGCGAAGCACGCTCAACGAACCCCAACGACGGAGGAGGCCTTCATCCAACAGCGAGTATTCAAAGTGGCTTTGGTGAATTATCGCTAAACATTATTATTATTGTAATTGTTTTATTACCCTTCTATCTGGCAACAAAACGGACACCTTTTTTTGACAAGGAGTCATGTTTGCATAGACCACAATACCTGCAGCCATAATGCAAACGAAAAACAGAACTCTGATAATGTATGCACTGTCCTTGAAGTTGATTGGTCCACACCCGAGACAGCTTTCCTTAGAGCCTAGTCTCACATGGGTTGGACCAGATGACGCCAAAAGGCGCACAACTCAAAGACAATGCACCATCAGAGTATGAGAGCTCGGGGTAAGCGTTTACACCATTGGAACCTCATTTGCCAGTAAAAAATATGATAATTGTTTTTTTACCCTTCTATCTGGCAACAAAACTGACACCTTTTTTACAAGGAATCATGTTTGCATAGACCACAATACTTGCAGCCATAATGCAAACAAAAAACATAACTCTGACAATATATGCACTGTCCTTGAAGTTGATTGGTCCACACCCGAGACAGCTTTCCTTAGAGCCTAGTCTCACATGGGTTATTATTATTATCATTGCAAGACCGGAAGGCGCCAAACAAGGGCTGCATGCTCATGACATGTCTGCCGCAGATCAAGCCCGCCGTGTGCGTCTCCCATTTCTCACCGTCGAAGAGGGGGCAGTTGATGAAGGACAGGTCATCGATGGCAATGTCACTGTGGTAGTCATCGCCAACTACTCCCTCAATCAGCACCTGCACCCACACACCCACACAAGGCACAAAGACCCCACCTTCAACATAATGTTGGCACGACACATGAGGGGTTGGGTGGCCAAACACTGAGCCCGACCGCTGATTGGTTACAAACCGCACCAGGTGCTCATTTAAGGCTGCATCTACCTAGGGGAGGCTCAGGAACCGCCACTGTTATTGGTCATTAGCGGGAATCGAACTCGGGTGGCCGGGGTTTCTTAGCGCAGCGCGCTAACTGCTGCACCGCCACTCCCCCCTGTAGGAGCACGAGCGCACGGCACACAGCACGGAGATCTCCACGCACCCAACAGGTCACCCTTCGCATTTTTTCAGCCTCAAACGTCAAAGCATCTCCCCCCCACCCACCCTTGCCCTTTCTCCCACTTCCACCCACATCACTACCCCAAATGTCCCTCATTAGGCTGGTTATACTTCCCCTACCATTGACTTAGAGGTTTCGTGACTGCAGGAATTCGTAGTCTTTGGGTCTTTCGGTAAAGTCACGTACATAGGTTCAAAGAAAGTAGCAAAAAAATAAGAAAAAACTACGACGTTTCGATCACAACCCAAGCGATCGTCATCAGGAGGAAAGAGGATGACGATCGCTTTTGTTGTGATCGAAATGTCGTATTTTTGTTATTTTTTTGTTAATTTCTTTGAACCTATCTTCGTGACTTTACCAAAAGACCCAAAGAATATGAATTCCCCTACCCTGTCCCCCATTCCCCCCCACATGAAAAATCTTCATCTTTCCCCCGTCGTGATATCCTCACCAGGTTGGGGCAGTGGCGCCCCCCCTCCACCCACCCCCCACCCCCCACCCCCCAACCCCCCACCCCCTTTTTCTGCCACCCCCCTATAAACGACTCGGTTGAATTTTGACTTAAAACTTTCGTGACTGCAGGAATTCATATTCTTGGTTCTTTGGGTAAAGTCACGTAGATAGAAAAGAAAAGAAAAAAATCATTAAATATTTTTTCAATAATAAAACAAACCACGACGTTTCGATCGCAACACAAGCGGCCTTCATCAGGCGGAGAGAGAGAAAAGTCGGTTGAGTCGGGACGCTTCTCCGCGACTGTTGATGAAAAATATTGAACCAACAAAAAAATCACCCGCCCCACCCCCCCACCACTGCCCCCTCTCCCCGTGACGCGCGCGTGGCACAGCGCGCGCACCTGGAAGGGCTGCGTGGCGGCGAGCGTCACGTTGTCGCGCGCCCAGCGGTCGCCGCGGTTGCCGTAGCGCGTCCACAGCAGCTGCCCGCGGCCGTTGCGGTGCGAGCGGCGGTAGACGGCCAGGCGGTAGACATTGCGCCCCCACATGTGGTAGTGCAGGCGCAGGGAGCAGCCCGCCGACTCGGACACCGGCCCGAACGCCCGGCTCATCAGCACCGCGCGGTCGCCAAACGCCTGGTGTGGTGGGGGAGACGGGGGGGGTGGGCAGGGTGGGGGGGGCATCTCTTTCAGATACGTTTTCGAATATTGTACCCGTGTGCGTTGAATTTCTTTCGCACCGTACTATTCTTCATACAATAATTTTTTTTAAGTTTTGCTGGCTGACTGGCTGACTGGCTGGCTGGCAGGATGTCACGTCCAGAAGGAGAGTCGTAAGCAAAAAAAAACCCCCATATATTCAATTAATTAAATATTCATAATTCAGCATTCACCCCTCCCCCTCAAAAGAAGACAGTCTTCTTGTTTCTTTCGGTAAAGTCTTCTCGACAGACCTGTTCTCCACCTGAGGACGGCTGCTTGCGTTGTGGCCGAAACGTCGTGAGAATTATTTTATTATGTTTTATTATTTTATTATTTTATTATTTCCATTCTACGTGACTTTACCGCAAGAACCAAGAAGATGAATCCCTGCAGTCACGAAAGCTTTAAATCGAAAAAGAAGACAGTCGCTTTCACATTCATGTGGATTAGGAATGTCTACAAACAATAGCGCGCAAGAGCAGTCCGTGGCGAGTCTGCCGCTCGCCCCCCCCACGGCTTCGGAGCGCGCACCTGGGGCTCAGAGGCCTCGATGTAGAGGTAGGTGCCGGCGCCGGTGCCGAGCGTGTGGTCCGTGTAGGGCCCCGTGAGCGGTGTGCTCGAGGGGCCGCGCTGCAGCGTCCAGTCGAAGTCGTCCTCGTCGTCGCCCGCCTGCTGCCAGTCGCACAGGCCCGACTCGAAGTCGCACTGCTGCGTCCGATCTGCACGCGAGCCATCATCACCGTCGTCGTCATCGTCGTCATCGTCGTCATCATTACCGCCGTCATCACCATCATTATCGCCACCGCCATCATCGCCGTCATCATCGTCATCATCACCGTCATCATCACCATCATTATCGCCACCGCCATCATCACCGTCATCATCGTCGTCGTCACCATCATCGTCATCACCACCGTCATCATCATCAGCGTCATCATCATCACCGTCATCATCATCACCATCATCATCACTGTCATCATCACCGTCATCATCATCATCACCGCCGTCATCACCATCATTATCGCCTACCGTCATCATCGCCGTCATCATCGTCGTCGTCACCATCATCGTCATCACCACCGTCATCATCATCAGCGTCATCATCATCACCGTCATCATCATCACCGTCATCATTATCACCACCATCACCATCGTCATTACTGTCATCATCATCATCACTGTCATCATCACTGTCATCATCACCGTCATCATCGCCATCATCACCGCCGTCATCACCGCCGTCATCACCATCATTATCGATACCGTCATCATCACCGTCATCATCGTCGTCGTCATCATCATCGTCATCACCGTCATCACCACCGTCATCATCACCATCACCATCATCACCATCATCATTACCACTGTCATCATCATCATCACTGTCATCATCATCATCACCGTCGTCATCACCATCATAATCGCTGTAATCATCATAATCCTCGCTGTCATTATGATCATCTGTCAATGAACATGAACCTCTTGTCAAGGAGCATAAGCCATCAAACGAACTCCGGTCATCCTCACAGCAGCAGCTTTTGGCGAGCCATCGAACAATAACGGTTACTGCATCGCACGCATTCAGATGTGCTTCTAAAACTTTGCATACTTGCATTAATGATTGCACTAGTTTGTCTTGCAGGCGGTGTAGTGGCCCTCACACTGATGTCTTATCAGTGAAAGTGCCCCGCCCCCCCCCCCCCATGAAGATTAGAGAACATTGTTTGAGAGTATTTGGCTGCTCTAAATTGTCACGTGATAAGCCACTTCATTAAGCTATCAAATGTAATGGCCAGGTCACTTCTGCAAAAGAGCCGCAGAGCTCAGGGGGCCTTACCTGGTAAAAAAAAAAAAATTCGTTTATAAGAGAGATCACTCGAAGGGCCCTCGGAAGCAGTTCCGCCACGTCTACTTCCGCGGGCCGATCTCCGCGCGCGTGCATTTTCCTGCAAGTGCCGCCACAGAGGGACGAAGCAGCGGACACGCTCCGGGTGACGTCCGCCCGCCCGCCCGCCCCTCACCGCAGTCCTCCTCGTCGGAGCCGTCACCGCAGTGGTCGGTGAGGTCACAGCGCAGGCGCGCGTCGACGCAGGCGCCGCTCCGCGAGCAGTGGAACGCCGGCGGCTCCGTCGCGGGGCACTCGGCCTTGGGCGGTGGCAGGGCGCACCCCACGAGCGCCAGGTCGTCCACGGCCGTGGCGCCCACGTACCTCCCGAGTTCCAACTTGCGCAGGGACACGCGGAAGGGCCCGGCCCGCCGGCCCAGCCACACCTGACGGAGGGGAGGGGAGGGAGGAGAGGGAGAGGCAGCGGGAAGTCAGTGGAGGTTCAGCTGGAGGGGGACAAAGTGCACCCCAACCCCCTGCCCCACCACTTTGCTCCACTACCCCAAAATAAACTATGTACTCCTATAATGCGAACTGGATGTAAGGTGATTAATGTATTAGGGAACGCATTTTTGTTTATAGAATGCGGAATGTGAATTGGATATAACGCGATTGAGCGAAAGGAACTATGTCGAGCGAGAAGAAATACATAGTTGTATGGCTGCCACGGCTTAGCATCACACAAGGCATTGGGATGCTTCTGGATGCATCGAGATGCGACCCACGCACCTCAGTCTTTGTTCAGCTTGCATACACATCTTGTGTATTATCGCGGACTGTGTTTTATGATATATCATTTATTATAACGCGATTTTTCCATAACGCGGCGTTTTTCGGCAACGCAGCTACTGCACAGTATGAGAACAGACTGTACTACCGGTGGTGTGATGCTGCTGTGTGTATGCTGAACTTCTTTCACACCATACGTAGCCACAACGGTGCTAAATCGGATGTGCGGGGCGGCTCACTCTGATGACAGCGATGACACTGACGATGACGAGAATGATGATGACAATGGCGATGATGAAAGCGAAAATGATGCTGCTGCTGATCAGAATGATGATAACAATGATGACTACGGTGATGAAAACGATGACAATGATGATGACGACCATGCCACGGAGGAGAGACCGTACCTGTGCGTGGAGCCAGCTGCCAGGCTGCTCATACGGCTCGTACCACAGCAATGTCTCGCTCTTGTCCTCGCTCAGCCACAGCTCCATGGGGCCTACAAAGGGCCCGTGCCTGTAATACCTGGAAGGGCATGCAGCGGCATGGTCAGCGAGCAGCTGCAGGGCGTCCTCGGGAAGTGCACGCAGTGCGATTGCGATTCTAATATAACGACAGTGGGGTGGTGGCGGTGGGTGGTGGGAGTGTTTGGTGGAGTGGTGACGGTGAGTGGTGGTGGTGGGTGGTAAGAGTGTTTGTTGGCGTGGTGGTGGTGAGAGTATTTGGTGGTGCTGGTTGGTGGTGAGAGTGTTTGTTGGCGTGGTGGGTGGTGGGAGTGTTTGTTGGGGTGGTGGTGGTGGGTGATGAGAGTGTTTGGTGGTGCTGGTTGGTGGTGAGAGTGTCTGTTGGGGTGGTGCTGGTAGGTGGTGAGAGTGTTTGGTGGGGTGTTGCCGACTTCTCCCTCTCCCTGCGCTGCGATGGGTAGTTTCTCTCTCCGCTCCATACCAGAAGGAGACAGTGCAGTCGGGTCCAGCGCCGTGTAGACACGGGCTCCTGAGCTCTGCCACCCGATTGCCGGAGGTCCCGTTCATGATCACCACCAGCATGTGGCCTAGGGAACACAAATAAAGGTCCCCCACCCCCCGCCCCAGGTAGGCTTAACGTTCTGCTGGGGCAAGTGCTGTGAGTGAGCGCCTATGAAGGCCGGCACGTCTCGCACGGCGGTGTTGTGCCCAGAACCACGCCTGGCTGCCTTCGTTCCCCAAATAGCGATGGCACCAGGTGCTCATTTATGGCTCAGAAAAATCGTGTCCTCGAAATTCTGAGTGCAAATTCACCAGATCAAAGGAGCGTAACCCTGGTGTATGTTAGTGATGGGGGCGGGGGGGGGGGGGTGACCACCTAAACATTAAAACATATACGCACAATTAAATATTCATCTCATTCCCACTTGGAGACGCAGTATATTTAATCCTGCCAATGACAAAATCATTCAGAATATTCTCAGATCTCGGAGGCTAAGCCGGGTTGAGACTGAACAACCGTTGAGACAGGCGATCAACAAGCATCCAGGGTTTGAGCTCAAGGTCTCAGCAAACAAGATACATGATTATTATTATTATCTATAGCCACATTCACCACTTGGGGAAAGGTGTGGGGGGGATAACGGGCAATGGTGGTGGGGGGGGGGGTGTGGGGGGGGTCCATGTGGTTCAACGGCAGTGTCTGGCCGTGCCAGGGTCAGGTGGCGGGGCGGAGTATAAAGGTCACCGAGGAGCCGCGTTCCCCCCTTCCGTGCCGTCGCCGCGCCTCTTATCGGCGAACCTTGGTGCCGGCCTCCGCGCCGCCATCAAATTGCCGCTCATTTCCTAACGAGCCCAAGCATTGAGCTTTTACGATGAGGGTGTTATTGTTATTATTATTATTTGGCGAGAGGTGACGCATTTATCGGTCGGTTACAATCGGTTCCCGGCACATGACGGCGCGGCGCGGGCGCGCGGCGTTGTCGGTGCCCGCGAGAATCGGTTGCTTCTGTCTGGTTTGCGTTGCGTGTAAAGTCAATTAGGGCCGTGTGTTTGCCCGGATGTAACGGGAGCGAACTGCAAGCGGATATGGATTTCTCGCGACGACTTTCTCCAATGACACTCGCTGGCCTAGTTTCACTCGACAACAAAAATGTGATACTTCAACAACAACAACACCGTTAACAACGGTGACAATGGAGGCGCTGTTACCACCACAGCGGTTAACTTGGGGAATTGTGACATAACGATAGTGATTGAACAGAAACAGGGTAGATCTTAAGTGAAGTTGTTGCATATATATTTGCGCAGCGAACTGGCATTAAAATCTTTGATAGTAGGAGTCAAATCCTAGGAATTGTTACACATCTCGTACCGAAGTCCCTACACTTGTATAAGTTGAAGGTGTATCGATTCACCCCTGACGACATTCCACGCGGTTACGCAGGGATAAACGTGGCTACCCACAGACAAGCACGGGGTAACAGGACAAATTCCTCACGAGTGGCAGAGCGCTCCCCCCCCCTCTCAAGACATTCCCTATCACCCCGCGGACAATGGGAAGAATTCCATCGGCAGATCCGATGGCATGGCTATCACAAAGTGCACAGGCGGTGCACCTGCGCAGGGGGCACAGCTGCCAGGTCAGGGTCGGGGAACATTTGCATGGTGGCGGGTGGCGGCGGGGTGGGGGGGAGGATTGGTGGGGGATCGACTGGGGTCGAAGATAACTGGACTTGCGGGTAGGTAAAAGGGCCGGGGGATCAGAGGGAATTCCTCCGAGCGTTGGCGGCGAGCCGCCCCTCCTCTGCGTGACTCCACCTGCGCTCGAGTTGGTGGTGTGGTCCAGCAGAGGGCTCATGTTGCGCACGCGGGGGCCGAGCTGGTCCCACGTCTCCCTGGTCCAGGCGAAGCTCTCCTTGGACTGGCCCCCTTCCCAGCCGCACCACCCACGCGAATCCTCCAGGCTGCACTCCAGCGCTTAAAAGGGGACACGGAACACAATCACGCAGAGACGCAGGTTAAGATTCCCCCGTGTAGCCTTCAAGTTCGAGTTCATGTATTAGGTATAGCCCTGTGAGCCATTCGGCTCTTGAATCAGAGGAACTTCCTTGGCAGACTGTTGGGACAAGTACTATTTTTATGACTTTTTTATTTTACCAGGCAATGCCCACTGAGCTATATAGCTCTTTTTTTCAGAAGCGACCTGGCCACAAATGATAGCTCAACAAAGTGGCTCATCATGTGGAAATTTATAGCAGCGTGATGTTGATCCTAAATGTGGAGAGAAAATCCCAGAGACAAATCCACGTGACCACGGGGAGAGGGAACATGCAAACTCCAAATATACAGATGTTAGGGTTGGGATCGATCCCACGACCTTCTTTATACCACGTAAGGTAGTTAAAATCTCGCCACTATGGCGCCGGCCTTCATAGATGCTCGCCACCGTGGCGAGCATCTATGAAGGCCGGCTCGGCACACGAGGGGGTGGGTGGCCAGCACCATGCCTGGTCACCTTTGTCTCCATGGTGGCGATGTTTACACACCGCACTGGGTACTCATTTTGAGGCTGAGTCGACCTAGGGCAGAGGTCGACAACCGGTGGCTCTGGAGTCGCATGCGGCTCTGTATGGACAGCTTCGTAACATTATTTATTGACGATCACCATCTCGTATCCACCACACGGTGCATTGCGGCTTTCAATACATAACATTCTTTTTTTACGAATTCGAAGAAAAAAAATGGCTCTTCTTATTTTTGGTTGCCGACCCCTGACCTAGGAGAAGGCCCAGCATCAGTTCGGATAATCGTCACTGGCGTGGACCACGAGCGGGAATCACACTTGGGTCACCGGGTTCGGAGCGCAGCAGGCGAACCACTACACTACCGCCCTGTGTGTATCCTTGCCGAACCCCAGGCTTCATGGGACGTCCAGCTTAAGCCGACTCGAGTTCACACCTGGCAGTTCACTGGCACTGCTTCAAACGAGCTTGGCTGCTGACGAGACATTGAATGTCAAAGCCGTTCTACAGTTTCATATTCTTAGGTTTTTTCGGTAAAGTCACGTAGGTAAAACATTTAAATTAATAAAAGTAAAAAAAAATCACGATGTTTTGGAGGCAACACAATCTTCCGTCTTCAGGTGGAACCGTCACAGCACGATAGCTGTATCAAGAGAGAGAAATTCCAAGGAAACAGTCCTTGTATATATACTGGTTGAGGGTGGGAGGAGCCAAGGTAGGCCCTGAATATATATATATTTTTACAGTTTGCTTGTGTTTAACCCATGCTGAAATTATGCAATCACAGTATGCCGTGGGTTGTGTAAAAAAAAAACCTTTATACAGTCTATAGGGTTACCACAGGCTCACTCTAGGCTTACCACAGTTGGTCGTGTTGTAGCTCAAGGATGGATGATGGTCTTGTTGTGGGGAGAGGTTGCAGCAGGTCACGAGGTCTTCAAACTCACCGCCTCGATGCTCCTCCTCTTCCTCCGAGGGGGGTGTCGAGCCCCCAATGCTCTCTAAAAATGTTACGTGCAGCAATGAGGTGTTCCAATTTTTGTTCATATATTTAACAATGAGGATAAAACTAACACAATAACGTACGACTGCATACTCTTTGGTTCTTTCGGTAAAGTCACGTAGGTATAAAAGAAGATAAATCACGACGTTTCTGGCGCAACACAAGCGTCCATCATCAGGTGAGAAAGCATGGTCTGCTGCTGAGGCAGACTGTTCTAAAAGGTTTGAAATGGGTGTAGCCCAAGGGTCATAAAGATGTGGGCGGGGCTAGTGATGTTAATGTGAGAAATTAGCATGTAAATGTAAGATAGGAGAGCGGCCTCCTCGACGAGGGCACGGAAGTGGCTATGTTAATGTGAGAGATTAGCATGATGTTAATGTGAGATCGAAGAGTGGCCTTCCACGAGGCAAGGGCGTCAACGCAAGAGAACCACCGCAACAGTGGCCATGCCAGTGAGACACACAGCTCATAACACAGTACGACTGCACTTTGTGAATTCTCTGCCAGATAGACTCCTCACGGCCATGCTGGTCGTAGTTTTTTTTTTTACCATTCTTCACCACGTTCATCAATAATGTGAGTTGGTAAAAGTGGAGGCCCGGGACCGGTTCGGGTATCGCTTGCCACTGATGTTCACCGTGACTGGGAGGAATCTAACTCATGGGACTGGTTTCATAGCATGGTGCGGTCGCAACAACAAGCCACAGCCGCTTGCCTTTCATGTTCCATTTATGAAGATGTCAGATGTTCTGATCATTAGACCACCAGTGTCTCTGAGGAGGAGGAATGTCAAAGCCAGGGCGCTGTGGTGGCGAGATGTTAACTACCTCGCCTGGTATGCAGGAGGTTGTGGTTTCGATCCTGACCCTTACGCCTGTAGTTCTGGAGTTTGCATATTCTCGCTCCCCTTGGCCGTGTGGATTTTATCTGAGTTCTCCAGTTTTTCCCTCCACATCTAGAAACATGCGTTTAGAATATTGGTCTGCTGCTATAAATTTCCACATGATAAGCCACTTCGTTGAGCTATCAATTATGGCCAGGTCCCTTTTGAAAAAGAGCTATATAGCTCAGTGGGCCTTACCTGGTAAAATAAAACTAGTTTAGTTTAGGGGGTGTAACGATGTTTGCGAGGTGTTCATTCTGGACGTCGGCATTGTTCCACACTGTTCACCAGCATTCTTTCATATCTGAGTGAGATTCTAGGATGGGTGACAACAGTGCCATCCCCAGAAGGGGGTCGGTGGCGAGGTGCATCGTCGGAGTCTTGGCTGATGATGGGTATTGAGGTGTATTCATATTCTTAGGTTTTTTAGGTAAAGTCACGTAGGTAAAAAATTAAATGAAAATTAATAAAAGTAAAACTAAAATAAAATAAAAATCACGACGTTTCGCAGGCAACACAAGCTTCCGTCTTCAGGTGGAACCGTCACAGCACGATAGCTGTATCAAGTGAGAGAAATTCCAAGAAAACAGTCCTTGTATATGAAGTACCGGTGAAGACACTTGACGCCGAGGTTGAGGCACACGTATATTTATTTAACACAACTCGTTCGTGGCATACAGCACTGGAGGGGGTATCGGCCCCCTCACCCGACTAGCTAAGGATACACTTCCTAGCTAATCCTAGCCTGCCTCTTAGTCCTCCACTAATGGGCTAGGGGAGGCTGTCTGGCCCGACACTGGTAAGTCGGGCCCGGTACCCGGAGTCCCAGACCAGCTCTTACAAGAGCACCGGCTCTGGCTCTCGGGACCACGCCGCTGGCTCAGTCCTGTTCGGCCCTGATAAGGACATCGAACGAGGGGAGTCCAGGGCTCTGTCTAAGACGTCTTCAGTCTTCTCTGGTTAGCTTTTAACATAACTGCCTCGAGCCCCTATAACGTCCCCTTTTATACCCAACCCCTCCTTGAGGGGTGGGGCCCCGGGGGATCATAACGCCGAACCAGCCCCCCCCAGGGTGTCTGGCTCGGACGTCGCAGAGGGCATCTCCCCGTGCACACACGTAGCCCCGCCCACTGTGTTTGTTTCCCATAAACTGCCATGCATAACGGGCCCTCTCTTTAACACCCCTACATATATATACTGGTTGAGGGTGCGAGGAGCCAAGGTAGGCCCTGGATATTATTATTGTGAGGTTCGTTGCGGCTGAAGCACGCTGTTAGGAATGAGCTTTTATTGTGCAGACTGGTTGAACTCGGAGGTTCCAAGAGTTGTTAAGGTACGGCTGATGTACCTACGTGACTTTACCGAAAAAACCCTAAGAATATGAATCCTTGCAGTCACGAAAGCTTCAAATTAGGCATTGAGATGGTTGACGTTGGCAAGAATACTCGTCAACTCCCTTGCTGCTGGCCTGTCCACTGTAATGACAGCAAACTTTTTTTACGGCAATCTGGTACGTTATGGAGGCCAGAATTAACGTCTAATGGACGTTAATTCTGATGTTCTGGAAGGGCCTCCTCGACCGTCTCCCTACATCAATCCGAATTAGACCAGCGTAGATGAGAAGCGTTCATACAGCGGTGGGTTAACAAAAGGCTGTTACACTATTATTGCAGCTGAATTCTGGCACGGCTATAATCCAGTTTATATATGCTATAGTTAAGACTCTCAAAACTTGGGTTGAAGATGTTTTTTTAAACTATTATTATCTGGAGGTCTTGGCGGAGGGCGGTATGCTCGATCGAAAATTTTAATCGATGTTTGGACAATTCGTTTTTGCAGGCAGTTTCTGAAGAGTTGTGACGCTAAAGCAAAAAAGCGGTTACCACGATGTTTGAAAAAATTGTCAAAAGGGGAAAAAAATCGATTATCGATAAAAAATGAACTATTTCAATGTACATGACCAGGCAGTATGGAACCCGAAATCAGCCTCTCAGAGATATGATACAGCATTGTATCTCCAATAACAGCCAAGTTATATACAGTACGATACAACGGCAAGCTCCTTAATGACGGAAAAGTGGTAGTAAAAAACGGTACACAATTTGGGGAAAACTTGGCCCTGGTTTTTCAGTTGATGCGGGCTACCAGATCCTTTCGCTACGAATTGAGAAAATGAAAGAGGAAGATCGACGGGAAAGGGTGTTGACAAAGGAGAAGCGCCAGGAGACAGACGAGGCCTGCGGTAGCCGACTACGGGGGAGGCCAAAATGCGCAACTTTAAATAAATATTACTTAAATAGAATTGTTATAACAACACTAATTTTGATTAATTTTCATTATTAACTATTTGATTATTCAAAATTACTAAGGTCACCTTTCATTTATTCTCTGAAGGAGCATTTTGCTTCTCCATGGAAGAATGGAGAAGCATGAATTTTGTACATTTTTTGAATGATTGTTATTAAACATTTTGATTCTAATGATTCTACCAGGTCTTTTCATTCTGTGAAATGAATATGTGATTGGTATAATTGTACTCTCCATTTTGCTTCGTTCTACTACAAAGTTTAAAGTATTTTTTTATATATAGATATAATTACTTTTAATATTTTATAATTATAAGAGAGTTTCAATATAATATTCTGAACATCTGCAGTTTTAGTTAGACGTTGAATATTTTCAAGTGAATTTTATGCTAAATTTCAGCTTTCCAACGCCTCCTTTTTAAGACGTGTTTCTCCTACAACATCAAGAGTGCAGCGCCACATTAAATACGCACTACAATGACAATAGTTTAAAGCGATTTGAAGCATGTTTTATTTTCAAAATGGAAATATGGTTTTGGGGGGAAGGGGCAAAGCTTTGTGACGTCATATTTGAGGGGGGTGTGACTTTTTGTGACGCCGTGTGACCAGGGGGGGGAGGGGGAGGTCAAAAATCGGTCAAACTCGCGTGACGTCATTTATGGAGGCAATGATTTTGTTCCTAATTGATAATTAAAAGAAACACCACAATATGAACAAGAGCCGCAATGCATTGTGGTGGTGAATACGAGACGGCGACTCCTTCATAAAGAACGTCACGAAGCAGTCACTTCAAGCAGCAGTTTCGTGGAAGACATTTTTTTCACGATCCAGGGGGTGGGGGGGGGAGGGTCATCATTGGGTCTTTCCCCCTTTTCAAAGAAGCTCTCCAGCGACGTTTGTTTTGTACTCATTGTGGCTACTAGGGCTTAGCAGCTTGTGGGCTTACTAACACTGACTTAGACAAGTGCCCAGTGCGGGAAAGAGGCGCGGACGGCAGTTGTAAATAATAAAACAGATTTGAAGCTTTCGTGACTGCAATGATTCATATTCTTAGGTTTTTTCGGTAAAGTCACGTAGGTAAAAACATTAAAAAGTAAAATAAAATAAAAATCACGACGTTTCGGAGGCAACACAAGCTTCCGTCTTCAGGTGGTACCGTTACAGCCACGACAGCTGTATCAAGTAAATGAGAGATTGCAGGAGCTACCACTCCGTTTGTACCACCTGAAGACGGAAGCTTGTGTTGCCTCCGAAACGTCGATCTTTATTTATTTTACCTTTTAATGTTTTTACCTACGTGACTTTACCGAAAAAACCTAAGAACATATAATAATAAAACAATGGGGGCGGGTTCCACGCGCGGACTCACCGCTCTCACCTCCTCCTGCTGTGCGGCCCGGTTCCTAACAGGCCACGGGCCGGTACCGGTCCGTGGCCCGGGGGTTGGGGACAGAGGTCGCAACCGGGTACCCGATACCCGTACCCTACCCGATACCCGGCTACCAGTACCCGGGTACGGGTACCCGTTTATGACCCTGGTGCGGCCGTGAGCCACTGGTGAGTCACCGTTTGTCACTCATTTCCCAACGTCTTGTCTCTTCTCACAATTCAAGTTCCTAGAATCAACCCACCCGCGTCTGCAACATGGCTTCATCCCAGAGGTCGCAATCGGGTACCCGATACCCTACCCGATACCTGGCCGGGTACGGGTAACCGGGTAGGGTACGGGTACCCGTTTGCTACCCTGGTGCGGCCGGGTACGGGTAAGGAATCAAAACCCGTTTGCGACCTCTGGTTGGGGACTCCTGAGTCTGAAAGAGCCGCGTGCGGCTCCACAGCCCGGCTCATCACGTTGATGGCGTCGTGTTGAGGGGTGGACGGGGGGGGGGCAGACAGGAGTGGGGGAGGGGGGGTCACGGGGTGGAGTCACGGGGGGGGGGGGGTCACGGGGTGGGTCACGGGGGTGGGGTCACGGGGGGGGGGTCACGGGGGGGCTCACGGGGTGAGGTCACGGGGGGGGTCACGGAGGGGGGGTCACGGGGGGGTCACGGGGGACAGGGGGTGGGGCAGAGAAGGGATACCGTTCTGCTTTTGAGGGGTTGTGCTGCTCCATCGCTCAGGGGTCCAGGGAAGAGGCGGAGAATGAGACGGAGGATGAGACGGAGGGGGGCCCCTTGCCTGCAGAGAGGTAGCGGCAGCCAGCAGCAAGCAAACCACCACCACCACCATCCGCTTCATGGCGTCCTGGCCACCACCACCAACCACCACACCCACCCACCGCCGGGCAGCTCTGTGGACAATGTCTCTTCAGACGCTTCTCTCTCAACGTCGTCTTCTTCTTCGAGAGACACAGACGGCGCCCGAGTGCCGTCTCAGCGGGGAGACGAGGAGCATTCACGCGACGAAAGAGCCCTCCCCGTGACCTTCGCCTGCACCGTGTCTGCCCATGACGCCCGACATGGACGCCTACACCTGCTGTTACTGCCACCTGGGGAAGCAGAATGCTCGCGGTCGGTTAAACAACTGCAGTCGGATCTAACCGTGGGGAACATTCACTCGGTGTGCCGTGGGCGTGGGTGGTGTGTGGTGGCGGTGATGGTGGTGACGGTGGTGGTTGGTTAATGATCAACCACGGGGTGACATTGACAGAGCTTTGAATCCCTTGCACGGAGCCATAGCTGTGTAATCTTAGATGAGATAGCGAAGTCCCGCGGTGCGAGTGAGAGCTGTTGAATTCTTCACCCGTGCAGCGTGGGGGTTCGTGTGTGCCACAATTATCGTGTTTACGCAGCGTGCTTTAGTGGATACGACGGGGTGTTCACGTCGCATTCGCGCTCATCGCATGGAGGAATAGGGGGCGGGGTGGTTGGAAACCGGTTACCGATTTGCCTGCAAATCCTGAATGTACATGTTGAACATTAAAACATTTTTAGTTTACTCTGAAACGAAACGAGCTCTGCAGGCGTAATGTTTAGCAACAATGGACTTACAATCCAGAGGTCACCGGTTCGATTCTATCCCCCGGTGATAATTTTCTTAAATCCCTACCCCCGCCGACTCTATCGATTGGCAGATGGCGTGTGGTGGGGTAAAGTGTGGGCCACGGTGGGGAGACGTGAAATACCTCGCCTGGTAAACAGGAGGGCGTGGGTTCGAACCCGACTCTGACGCCTGCTGTAAATGTGGAGTCTGCGCGTCTTTCTCCCCCGTGGTCATGCAGTTTTCCCCTCCACATTTAGAGTCAACATCACGCGTTTAGAGCATTTGGTTGCTAATTAATGTCCGCGCGATGGCAAACCACTTTCTTGACCTATCATTTGTGGCCAGGTCGCTTCTGAAAAAGAGCTGTGCAGCTCAGGGGGTAAAATAAAATAAACTTTAATTTTTTATCATCTTCAGTCGAACAGAAAACCAACTTCCCCCGAGAGCTCCATCTCGTCGGAGGCCCTTCCGCCAGCAGCGACGTGAGCCGGCTATTGGAGGGCTGCCGACTCCACTTTGTAACTGAGAAACGAGAGAGCACGTATCACGTGACGACCCATGCCGCCGTGTGGTTAGTACCTTCCTCGCGTGCGGTTTTTCGCTTATCAACTCCGATGTAGCGCCACCCATCACCCCCCCCCCCCACCCACCCACTCGGGATCTGGAGTCAAAGACTCAGGACTAACACGGCACCGGTTACTGGCGGAGTCCGTGGTGACGGGGGGGGGGGGGGCACGTGCCCCCCCAATGATCCTGATCGAAATCCCTAATTTCGATCGGATCATTGGGGTTTATTAGTAATAAATCGGCATTTTGCGACCCCCACTGCCACTGTGTAGCATATTATTACGTGCCAGGGACTCTATGAGATGATAGGGCAATTGTCTGATTCCATTATTGGCAATAAGTAACGGCAAAGCGGTTATAAGTGACTCACAGAATTGTGCGCAGGTGCATATACAGTGCACGACTTCACTGAAGGCAAACACCTTCAGCGAGCGCGATGCCGATCACACAACACGATTCGAATTCGACCCTCGATCGATGGCTGCGCCATCGCCGCACACGCGCCGAATAAAAAGCAAGGGATAAGTCCTTACTTGATAATTGATTTTTTACCCTTTTATCTGGCAACAAAACGCCTTTTGGCGTCATCTGGTCCAACACCATGTGAGACTAGGCTCTAAGGAAAGCTGTCTCGGGTGTGGACCAATCAACTTCAAGGACAGTGCATACATTATCAGAGTTATGTTTTTTGTTTGCATTACGACTGCAGGTATTGTGGTCTATGCAAACATGACTCCTTGTAAAAAAAGGTGTCAGTTTTGTTGCCAGATAAAAGGGTAAACAATCAATTATCATATTTTTTCTTCTGGCAAATGAGGTTTCAATGGTGTAAGTCCTTGCTTACTAACAACTCCTTACTTACTAATAACTCCTATCATTTTTCATTGCTGGAGGGGTTGCCCCCCCCCCCTACCTGAAAATCCTGGCTTCGCCATTGGCACCGGTGCACGTTTGGCGTTGCCATACGAGGTACATTAAACACCGGGACGTTGTGTGAAGACAGATCGAAACGCGATGCCACAATACGGAAGCGCTCCATGTCATTGCGTAGCTGGCGTGAGGTCACATTGCCAAAATAAAAAAAAACTGGTGATTCTAAACATTTATCAAACGTAATCCTCATCAGGCCCCATGCTATTCTTGGTTCTTTCGGTAAAGTCACCTAGAAGGGAATAATAAAATAATAAAAACAATAAAATTCTCACGACGTTTCGACTGCAACACAAGCAATTTATCAAATTTTCTTGCTGTGTTTGTCACACCTGATGACGATTGCTTGTGTTGCAGTCGAAACGTCGTGAGAATTGTATTGATTTATATTTGTATGATTTTATTGTTTCCCTTCTACGTGACTTTACTGAAAGAACCAAGAATATGAATCCCTGCAGTCACGAAAGCTTTAAATCAAAATTTAGGCCCCATGATGTCAAACAAGTCTCTAAATCGCATTATCCACTCTTGTCGCTCGGACCTCTCTATGCACTATGAAGGGGCGTTGCCCGAAACGTCGCCTATTATATATCGTTTGGCATTGCAAGGTCAGAGTGTTATTGACAAATGTGTTGAGCTTAACATATATTATTTGTGCTTTTGGTGCACTGACAACGCAGTAGCATCACCAAATAATGCGTTACATGTACATTACAGTTACATGTTTTTGTTCTGGATGAGTCAGTCGGTTTATTCAGGGGGGGCGATTGGTTTCGTGGTTCCCCTCGAGCCCCCCCTTCAGTAACCCCCCCCTGACCCCACCCCCCCCCTGAGGAACCAACCAACCAGTGGAGCGAAATCTGCGCCCTCAGACTCGACTACACTGACACGCGAAATAAAAGTTAATTTATTCTCCCGGTTACGTAGACTCGTAGAGGGACTTCGGTTCATTTTAGTTACCGCATTTATTACAACAGCAGGTTGTTTTTTTTACGTACAATAGTTCATGAAGAGCGATCTACAGCGAATAGAGAAATGTTGAGCAATTTTGTATATATATGTAACCCATCAAATACAGTCGGTTCTCATTTAGCTAGGGTGAAGGAGTGGCTTGGGATCAATTAAAAACACGGAGGATGAAAAAATACAAAGAACCCCCGTATAGCCTTAACAGACTGTAGGGGCAAGTGCCGTTAGCGAGCACCTTTAAAGGCCGGCACGCCAGGGGACAGGTGGCCTACACCACACCTGGCCGCCTTTGTCTCCCTAGCGGCGATGTTTACACACCGCCACCAGGTACTAATTTCAGGCTGAGTCGACCTAGGGTAGGCCCAGGACCGGTTCCGACAATCGTCACTGGTGTTGGCCATTGAGTGGGTGAATCGAACCCGGGTCGCCAGGTTCGTAGCGCAGCGCGCTAACCGCTACACCACCGCTCCCTGGACGATGCGAAACACACACGCGCACACACTTGGGGCTGTACGAGAATTATTGCCGACGTCGAACGGTTGGAGAATACGTAGCAGGAAGTCGTCGTCCGTGTGGTATCGTTGATCGCTCGACGACGAGTCGAGAGCGTGCTGCGCCACGTGGCCTCCGAGGAGCGACTTGACGACCCGTGACGGCGACGTGGGCAGCAGCCAATGGGAGCCAGCGCGCGTTGCGCCAAGCTCCAAGCAAGCGCGGTTGGCTAATTCGTCACCCGCGGATGATGGAGAGAGTGTGCGTTGGGGAGCGGTAGTGTAGCGGTTAGCGCGCTGCTCTACTAACCTGGCGACCCGGGTTCGATTCCCGCTCACGGCCAACATAAGTGACGATTATCTGAACCGGTCCTGGGCCCTCCCCTAGGTCGACTCAGCCTCAAATGAGTACCTGGTGCGGTGTGTAAACATCGCCACTGGGGCGACAAAGGCGTGGGGTTGGCCACCCCACCCCCTCGTGTGCCGTGCCGGCCTTCATAGGTGCTCGCTAACAGCACTTGCCCCTACAGTTTGTTAAGGCTATACGGGGGATCTTTATCTTTGTGTGGTACCGTGTGTCACCGATTCATGGACAGCAACCGTGCATCGGCACAGAGTACTATAAGCAAAACCAGTGCACACGTGAGGGGCCGTCCATAGATGACGTCACGCAATTTTGGACGATTTTTGACCCCTCCTCTCGCCACACGGCGTCACAAAAAGTTACACCCCCCCCTCAAATATGACGTCACAAAGTTCTGCCCCACCCCCCCCTCAAAACCATATTTCCATTTTAAAAATAAAACATGCTTCAAATCGCTTTAAACTATTGTCATTGTAGTGCGTATTTAATGTGGCGCTGCACTCTGATGTTGTAGGAGAAAACATCAAAAAGTATTTTTAATTAAGTAGAACGTGTTGTCTATATTTATTTAAAGTTGCGCATTTTGATGTGACGTCACATTTCTCAACCCCCCCCCTCCTCGTCACACATCGTCACAAATGTCTGACCCCCCCCCCACCCCCTAGGTGCGTGACGTCATCTATGGACGGCCCCTGACGGCAATATTGACAGTACACATTGATGTGAGCCCGTCGCTCAATACTAACCCCGCCCGTTGGCTATCGTTCCAACAGTCCCGTAACAATACGCCACGGCGCAATTATGTTGTTGTTTATCTCGTTTCCACTCCCTCGTGTGTATTGTTTCTCTTTTCACGTAGATGAGCTACATCGGCCTAGATGGAACATTAGCGTGCGATTCGTATGACGCGTCGGTCATTCTCACGATTCGACGATGCACGTATTTTTATTTGTTGTTTATCTCGATGTATCGATGCAACTTTCATGGTCGTGGTTATAGACACCTTCGGTCAGAGCCGGCCCTAGACCTTTGGGGGCCCTAAGCAAAATTTGGTTGGAGGCCCCTTTGATGTATGATTTTTTTCACCCACTCGCTAGCAGTGACTCTAGGGGGCCCTCTGCTGGCCACGGGGCCCTTTGCAATTGCAAGGGTCGCTTAGTGGCTGGGCCGGCTCTGCCTTCGGTAGATGAATCCCAAGGCCCTTGCTTGGTTCAGCAGCCAGACAAAAGTGTCGTGGAGGCTGGAAACAAACACTGAGAGATTCAACCGC